CTCCATCGCAATCTTGTTGAATCGGTCCATGAAACTCCTTAGCCTTTCCTTCTTCTCTTGACGGACCCCTGCTAAAGCTAACGAGGTGGTCCTGTACGGCTTACTCGTAGCGAATTGCAAAGTAAATTGGGATGACAACTCGGCGAACGAGTCGATGGAGGAAGTCGGCAGTCTGGTGAACCAGCTTAGAGCCCTCCCTTTCAGTGACGTGGGGAATATTCGACACAATGCCGAGTCGTCCTGAGTGGAGAGAGTTGCCTGAGTCAAGAAAACATTCAAGTGCTCCTCGGGGTCGGTTGAACCATCGTACTTCTCGATTGACATGCTCTTCCAATGGTCCAATAAAGTTGCTTCCATTATTCGTCTGGAGAAAGGGTGCCTTAGGGAATGGCCGGATGTATCGGCCTTGTTGGCTATCAGAGATGTCGTCGGAGCCCGAGTGACCTGGTCGGTTGGGGCGTGATAAGCGGACTCTTCCGCTAATGTGGGAGTAGACGGCACATTCGTTTGATTCAGGCTCCGGAGCTCGGCATTTTGCCGACGTAATTCGGCCATCTCTCGGGCATCGGCCTCTCTTTGCCTTCGGATATTTGCCATTTCCTCACGCAGTGCGCGCAAGTCATCATGAAAGTGGGGCGGAGGTTGGTTAATGTTCGGCTGGACCTGTTGTATCACGGGTTCCGGTTGGGTTTGAGGCATTCCGTACGGGTAGCGTTCTTGGTTGGTCATGGGGGGATTATCTTCAGCGTTAGTATTGGGAATCGGTTGAGTCGTCGTCGATTGTCCCTTGCGGGTAACTACCATGTCTCGGTCTCAGTTGGTAGAGTTGAAAAGGGGCAGAAAAGTCTCTTCGGCCCCACGGTGGGCGCCAAATGTTCCTGAGTTAGGGACACACACTTCAATAATCTTGGTCGTCTCGGGTCAGGTGTAGGGTTACGGTCTTCTCGTTCTTATCCGGGTGGTCTGATGAGAGGGGGGGTGTGCCTGAAAAGACACTCCAACGCTCAAGTAAGTGCTCGGCGTAATAAATGCGGTAGTTGAAAAGTTAATTACATACCTCGTTGGGGCTCTATTTATAGACGCTGGTATTGGGCCGTGATTAAGAATTGGGCCCCGGAAAATTAGGGGGCTAATCCAATATATTACGCTAATTAGACTCTATAATCGGTCTGGCAAAGGCACAGAGATTGACCGACCAACCCGACACGTTTCCTCGCTTATGAGTGGTCGGTGGGCTAGGGTGATCGGCGTAATTATTAAGGGGTCGGGTCCTCGGCCTAATCACTCGCGGGCTCGGGTATTCGGCCTACTCGTTCGCGGGCTTGGGTATTCGGCCTAGTCGGCCACCATACGGTATACAACCCCCGCAGCGTCAAGGATAGGAAAGACGAAGACCCAGATGGAACCTCATGCAGTAGTGGGGTGATCACTTGGACTTTTCCATGTGTTTGATCTTTTTTATGTGTTGTAAAACTCATACCAAATAATCCTGTAATTTTCTTGTAGGTGTATGTGGAAAGATGCAAGTATCTGGAGGAAAGCAAGTGTGCTGGTATTTGCACCAACACGTGTAAGTTTCCAACACAGGTTAGTGATTCTTGAAAATATTTACTCATTTTTTCATGTGACAATGAGAGCTAAACATCATGTGCACATTTCAAAGTTTTTTCATCCTCTGGATGATTGCATCTAACTCTTTTTTCTATCTAGACCTTCTTCAAGGATCATATGGGGGTTCCATTACTTATGGAACCTAACTTTGCCGATTACAGCTGTCAGGTAATATTGAGTAATCCTTTTTGGAGACCAACTCTGTACGTGACCTCCTTGTCATTACTCTCTTATCTTGTAAAATTGCAGTTCAAATTTGGAGTCCTTCCTCCACTGCCAGAAGATGACAGCATCCTGAAGGAGCCTTGCTTGGAAGCATGTCCAAATGCTTCCCTACGACGAATGGCTGCCAGAAATATAGATGTAACTGCGTGCCCAAAGACATGAACATATTTTTTTGGGCTTGCCAGCTTGGGTTTTCATAACATTTATGTAGACTTTCCGGTTACCAAAGCCTCTTACACATTTTGGTCTCAACCTGTATTTGAAGATGGAACAACATAGCGATAAGCTCACATGAAATGAAATTATTTATAAAGTTAATCCTTGTAATTAGATTATTGATTGTTAATATTTTGTATTTGAATACATCGATAATTAATCAACTAGATTTAGACATTTTAGATTATGATATAAATACAAAAATATAATTTTTTATTTTCACGATTGAAGATAAATTAATCCTAGCTGCTTCTTAGTTCTTATCAAAAGAGTAAGAATCACATTTAATTCTTCCCCTGTGCAAAAACTCAACGAGCAAGAATCATAGTCCGAGATTATTGTCCAATGAGTTGGAAGTATACATGGCAAGAGGAAAAAAAAAAGTAGTAGGAACCTCAACCTATGTCAAACACTTGTCCTGGCATTTTCTATTTTTTTTCATATTTATTGTAGCTTCATATAGGAAGTCATAGTATAATTTTTTTTAAAATAATTAAGGAGTTAATATATTGTTCAAAAAATATTAGGGGACATTTGGTATACGACAATTTTTTTTTATGTCCGTTCATGATGAAAATCTATTTATTTGATCATAAATGTTTGTGAGAATGTTTTTAAATGTTATATGTAAATCAAATTTTTTTACCGCATTAAATAAATAAATAAAGATAGCATGATATTTTTATTTTATTAAAACTATTTTTATATTGAAAAAATTTATTTTCCACCTTTTCCATAGAAAAAACTTCATGGAAAACATTTATTTTTAAATAACAAACTAAATGCAAAAAATTAATATTTTTGAAGTTAAAGTTCTAAGAAAGTAAAAAAATTTCAAATATCAAACATTCTTTTAATATAATGTTTTTCAAACAATTAAAGAGGTTATTGTAAAGGTAAAATAAAAAAATAAAAAAAAAAGTCATAAAATTTGAAGCAACGTTAGTATAAATTACTATAAATTGAATTACAATCTACTAATTGTAAATATGTTTTAACAAACTTTTGAAGAAATAAGATTTTTAAGATAAGAATATCATTCTTCCTTCACAAACATAAGTCTTTAAATAAAGTATACTAATAAAATTTAATATAATAATAACAACAATAAATTATTATGGTTGTATAATTTATATTTATTTAAACAACTCGGCTTAGTCTTAAAAAAAAATTGATTGGCCTATTTTTAACTAAATAGACTTAAAAATGGTATTATATATTTGTCAAATAAGTCTATGTTAAGTGTGGTAAACTAAGTTATAAGATTTTCCCAAGTGACTTAATGGATTTTCATCTAGCAATTAAAAGAAAGGATAGATAATTTACATAAAGTGTTTGAACTTAAAATTTCATGTATAACATGAAATCAAACCATTAGCCCGAAAATGAGCTTGTATTTAACGTGTTCATATTTGTACTAATTTTTTAGACCAACATACAATTATTTTATGCAAAGTTTGATTTATGGGTAGCCCAAATAATTTCGATCAAGCCCAAAGTGATATCCTTTCCTTTTTTTTAAAAAAAGGCTTTTTTTTAATCTATGTAAACAAAATGACATCTTATAGAATAATCAAACTTGTGTATAGTTGTAAGCTAACTCACATACTCATTAAATAGATCAAACTTTCTCCAATCCAAACAAGTTGTTATAGCAATACTAACTAATCTAGTTAAATTATAGATTATATATATATATATATATATATATATATGAGGAGGGTTCAAACGACATCGGTGTAACTTTTATTAAGTATATATATATATATATATATATGAGGAGGGTTATAATAATACTGATGTAACTTTTACTAAGTATTACATCACTTAATAACTTTATATTTTATATGAATTTTATAAATTCAACTGTTAGATTGAAAGTTCATATCTCTTAGATCATATATACAAAATTTTATATTAATCCAAGATGATTTGATACTTCATTTTTATAAAACAAAATTGATGTAATATATTCATTTTAAAATACACTAAAATATGAACACTTTGATTACCTTCAAGTTGTTGTTCAATTTTAACAAAATTTGATATACACATACAAAAATGATATGAACTTTCAATCTAACGGTTTGATTTACAAAATTTACATTTAATATAAAGTTATTGAGTGGCATAATACTTAATAAAAGTTACACCGGTGTAATTATAACTCCCTCTATACATATATAAATTAAGTACTTTATTTATTTTAAACTTATCTTAACTCCTTTTTAATTCATCTTAAATGAGTGAGTTCACTTATCAGTAAAAGTGGGTTGAAAAAAAATAATTCACCCCATTTAAAAGTGAGTTTTGAAGAAATTTTAACTTATCACAAGATGAAATGATGTGTCAATAAGTTATGAAATCATAATTGATTTTAAAAAAGTATATAAAAAAATAGAAAAATATTTTAAAAATATATCAATTCGTTATTTATTTTACATGCATATATATATATATATGGGGAATGTTAATATACTCCTACCTATTTTTTAATGAGAGTATGTTAGCAACTTACATCAAAATTTTAGGACAAAAAAATCATTCATTTCTTTTAATTTGGCTAATTCGTACTTATTTTATTATTATTTCATTAAATAAGCAGCTGGCATGGCACTATTAAAAGATATGATTGGTTGTCAGTGTAGAAAAACTTTACACTGGGTTAGATATGATTGATGACTACTCAAGAAAGGTTTAGGTGTATTTTTTGAAGTCCAAGGATGAAGTGTTTAGGCGTTTTAAGGAGTGGAAAACTATGGTTGAGAAACAAACCGGGAAATTAGTTAAGACTCTAAGAATAGATAATGGACTCGAGTTTTGTGATGCATTGTTTGATGATTACTGTAAAGAAGCAGGTATAGTCAAGCACCTCACAATGAGACATATACCACAATAGAATGGCGTTGTTGAACGGATGAATCAAACACTACTTCAATGTGCTCGGTGCATGCATTTAAATGTTGGTCTCTCAAAAGAATTCTGGGTTAAAACAATTAATATTGCTATATATTTGGTGAACAGGTCTCCATCTACTATAATTAATTTAAAGACTCCTCAAGAGGTATGGTCTGGTAAACCTTTTGATTATATTGGCTTACGTATATTTGGTTGTCCTACTTATGCTCAAGTTAATGATGGTAAATTAGAGCCTAGGGCAATGAAATGTATATTTCTTAGTTATTCTACGGGTGTCAAAGGGTATAGAATATGGTGCACTAAAAATAATAGAACAAAAAAATTTGTTATTAGTAGAAATGTTACTTTTAATGAGTCTGCTATGTTTGGCCAGAAAGAGGAGGTTGAAAATCTTGTAGGAAATAAAAATACAAATAAGGGAGCTCATCAGAAGGTGGAGCTTGAGGTTGAAGATTCCAAATAAAGAAAATTTGAATCCTGTGGAACCATCTAGTAATGTCCAAGAAGCCTCAAAGCATAGCAACAAGGAGAACAAGGAGGGAAATAAGAAAATCTATGAGGTATCCATATGTTACTAATGTTGTTGGTACTAACTCTGTTGCGTATGCCTTGACAGTTGGTGAAAATCTTGATTTTGATGAGCCTAAATCCTATAAGAAGACAATTCAAAGTAAATAAGCATAAAAATGGTTAATTGCCATGAATGAGGAGGTGTAGTCACTTAAAAAAAATCAAACCTAGAAATTAGTACCATTACCTAAGACAGCTACGGATCTACATATAATAGAATGGGGGCACTTGCCCCCACTACCATTTTATATATACAAATTTTTTATACAAAAAAATAATATATTTTAAAAAATAAAAGTTATATATATATTTAAATTATCGTAAGTATAAAACATAAATTCAGAGGAGTTATTCATTTATTTGATATTTGTCAAACTTGCGAATGAGATTAATTCTCATATGTGATAAAGAATACTCTTTAATAATTAATCAATTTTTTAAAAAAGTTTAATTATATAATATATATATATATATATATATATATAT